TTCGTTGGCCATTATCACAAGAGCTTTGAGTGTGACGTTAAATTTTCCATTATCTAGAAAATAAAAATGGAGGGCGTTATCGGAAATAAAAGTAGTATTTCCGATAGTAGTAGTTCTGTTTACTTGTCGTAATTTTTCTACTTAAATAAAATTAAAAATCAGATTGGTGATAAGGGCCTCCTTTTTCATACTTCCTTTTGATCTAAATGGGTTAACCGCGAACGATCGTGATCTGACGGTAAATATCGTTGGCCGCTAGTGTGAATCAAGCCTTGATCGATACAATTGATACAGAGAGGCCAATGTGCGTTTCGATTTATAACGGTCGTTTGCGACGTGAACGAAGGACTCGCGGAATCGAAGATCATCATAAACGTCACGCCTTAATCGTTAACAACGTAATCTATAATTAACGATTCCTCCGGAAAGAAAGATAGAAAAATATATGAGTCTCTAAATACCCATACGATAAAATATGTTCTCCTTTTTTCCTTGGCGCGCGTTCCGAGATCGCTCCGTTTTGCGATCCTCCCTCGGTTTCTCTCTTTTCCTTTTTCCATTCGTTGCCATTGATAAACGTAATCGGGCGGCGAAAGCAATTCGAAACAACACAGTCGACGGTCGAACGAAGAAGAGAACGAAAGAAAAAAGAAGGAAACCGTCGCCGACACGACGAAGAAAACGGAAAAACCACCGCGGTGTTTTCCTTTCTCCTCTTTTCGTCTTTTTTTATCGTTTTCCATTTTCTTTAATATCGGAACGATCCACACTATTGTCGTTTATCTTTCTACGTGTCGCTATACGGTTATCTTGGTCGAAGGATCGAAGGGTTAGCGATTAGTTCCTTATCGGTAATAATTAGTGTACGTGTAAGTCGAATATTAAAGATTTCTCATTCGGTGTTCAACCCACGTTCTGTCGCGTAACAAAAATGCGAAAATCATCCGTGATCCATGAATCCGTCGGTGATAGATCGTCTGTTGTGTGTGGTGGTGGGATCGGAGGTGAAAGAAGGGGAATGTGTCAACGCAAACGCTCAGATCTATGAGTAAATAATTAACTCTTCGAAGTAAAAGAAAAAGAAGCAAAATAACACTGGAATCTGTCCCGTCGTGACGCTTTCCGAAGTTGCTCGGTACATACATATGTATACACACAGATACACATATCTACTTGCATATGTGTCATGTAATTGCACATATACACCTGTACCATATGCGTATCTATTTTAACCTACACGCTAATGGTAAGAAATATGAGACCAGGTTACTGTACCAATGAAAATGGAAAATATTATCCTGTAAAGATTTAATGAGACTCGTATATCAAAATGGAACACAAATAATTCATATTAACTATCGACTCCACAAGTTTTATTAGTTTGTTAGAAAATAATATTGTTCCGTTTTCATCGATCGTAAGTCTTGGTCCAGTATTTCTCATCGGCAGCGTGTGTTCGTACCGATATACATAGAGATGTATATCAACACGTACATGTGTATGCATGTTCCTTTTAATTGGGTGTCTGATACGCGTTTGTCATTTTGTATCTACAGCTAAGGGCAGTATGTACAAGGGTCAAAGGAATGTGTGTTTTTATCATTTCTTCCGTAGCCGCTATAGAACAGGCCAGCAGTACGATCTATTCGATATAGATATCCTCTATTGGGAAAGCAGTCTCGATGAACTTCGTGTAGAACCGATGGAAAGCACGCCTGCGGAGAGAATATCGTTGCTTAAAATTCAACGTCAGATGCGTTTTATAGTAAAGAGTTTGTAGAAATTTTCAGTAGAATTCAAAGAAATTTAAAAAAATGGTCGTTTATGTCAGGTGGTCCACTAAATACCAATTATCTTAATAAAATGTATAAGTTAAAATAAAATATAGAAGAGAGCATTGAATAAGAATTTAGAATGATTAAGTTACATTTTTTTTCATTTTCATTAATATCAATTGTTATAATAAAAGATTCACACGAAAATAGACTTATGTTTCACTATTTAATGCTAATGGATTTTAGTGTTTTTGTTAGTTCTTCAGATGTAGATGTTAACAAAATTTACACGAATTTATTAGAATCTGTTCTAATAAGAAATTCAATTTTCTAAAAATCTATTTAATTACTCATCAATTTTTTCAATCATAACCATGACTATATACGTAGATACGTCTTTTTTACTTAGAATTAATGTAATACACTAATATAATAATACTAAATTATTAATACTTGATAAATTATTAAATAACCACGTATTAGAATATTTCAATATTACCCATCAATTAATAGTATGGCAAATGTATTAAGGTAAATGCCTCTAGTGAACCACCCAATAATATATGCATGTCCGCGTCTCGTCTTGATAAAAGGTTCATTCTTAATGGACATAAACTTTCAACATTACAAATTATAAAAGCAGGTAATTTCTCTAAACACGTGCACTCCCGTTCGTAATATTAAGGCACTTAAATATAATTATCATTTTTTAATTACCAATGAATAATCATCAAAATGTTATTAAAAAAACTTGAATTATCAAAACGGGAGAAAAATAAAGAAATACATACCCGACGGCTTCGGCGACGGGTCTCGTGGATTCTTGGCCAATGAACACGTGACAAGCGAACCTCTGTAAGGTAGGGTGTTTCGTGATGAAGCCGAGGTAGCGATGATCGCGAGGATGAAAGGCGCAAAAGGAAACATTCTTCAGCGAGTAGAAGTAATCGTGGCAGGGTCTTTGGCTCTTCTGCAAAACCATAATAATCAGCATTATTAAAAGATTTACGAACAATGCCACACTATAAGTAGTTGACACTATTTTTACCGAAATTAAAAAATGTTAATTTAAAATTTATTTTCTAAGTTTATTCACTTTTCTTCGATCAACTGTTCGACATTTCTTACAACGATTATCAAATTAGTTCGGCACTACATGTTTTAATCAAACAACATCAAATTACCTCTTGGTAAAAGTAGGTATATACAAAGGGGCGGTAAAAATAATGTTAATCATAATGTAGACAATGATAGTCGTAACTGAGCAGCGCATCTGCTAATGAACCAATGTTGACAGTGTAACCAGCAATCAATTATTCGTACCCGAGGGTAATCAATAACCGTAGACCGTATGCGTAATATGATATACGATCAGTAATTTGTAGTTACAAAATGAATGATAATTCCAATCTTGACTGAAGCTAAATGTATTCGTTGAAAATGATAATAGCGGCGCGTCAAATAATAAATGTGTTAATTTGTAATTATATATATATCTCATTCGCTTCAATTATACTTGATAAATACTTTTATTGAGATTCCATTGACATATGTAAATAATGACAATCGGAAATGTAATCGTTGCATGGTTAACTCCCGCGTATGAACATTAGATTATCACGAACTTGTCGATTAGACTAGAATTACGTATGCAGTGGCTATAGTATTATCTTTGTCTCGATGATTCGTGAAATCATTGATAATTATAGGGAACTATCTTATAACGTGTCAAAACAGAATGATCATTGCTTCACTATGAATTCACTATGAATGATCATTATTAATACTATGAAAGTGTATAATTTCTCAAAATGTAGAACAATAATTTTTAAAAATTTAATAAAATATTTAAGATTCTTAAGCAGAAATAAAATGTAGTATCATGACTGTAATACCCGATTAAAAAATATTCCACAATATATTCTACTTAGAATTTCCAATAACCTATCCGGCTATTATCATGTTTTATACATTAGAACATTAAGATGTATTTATGTAAAGATATTTTTGAGAGCGATTCTACAAGCCACATCCGCAGTTTATCGACGGTTATCGATTACTGTGTTTATATATCAAACATCAATTCACAATAAACTTCGTAGAAGATAAAATATTAATAACTATTCGACATTTATGAAAGATAAAATTGTATAATTAAAATATTATTGAAAGTTTACCCGTGGTTTACTTCTGTCGACCATCCGAAGACCCTGATCGGACACTTCCAAAATGCAACTCTGCGAGACAGGGGATTCCTGCGAGTTCCCGACAATTCTTCGTACCGCTTGACAAACAACACCGGTACCTTTGTGCGCCAGGGTCTCGACGGAGCCCAGGTAACCCAGAAGGTATCGTTCTCGTTTCACTTTCGGTGCTGACGGATCGAAGTCGCTGTAATCCATGTCGACCGCGTAAGCCGAGGGGAAAATGCCTTGACGACCTGTTCTGAGGTTCACGCCTTTAAATCGAAATGTAACGTCATTAGTGAGATAAACACAGTCTGTTCAGTTATATTATATGTATTAACACTTTCGCTGCCACAGTGGTCACATGAGACCGGAATTTCGAAATGACTTGAAAACAATTATAATTTATAAGATAACTGACGTCGAATAAAAATATTCAATAGCGTAAATGACTAGATAACAGTGTAACGTAAGAATTGTGGTAGTAAATAATTAATAATTGTTCCTTTTTATCTTTGCTACAAATTATAAGTGATACGTAAAACGCTGATGTTGTTCGTGGTAGTCAACATATTAACCCTCTGCGAATGAGAATTTTTTAAATTTATAAAAACTTGTTCGCGAAGAAGCAGTTTGTATTAAAGTATTAACACTAGAACTACCAAGCATTTAACACATTGTTGACCGGTCACGAGCCAACTCATGTTTGCACTTGCATTAGCTATTTCAATTTTTGAAACGCAGGGCAATATGGAATATTGCAAAAGCAAAATATTCAAAGTTACCTAAAAGATGTGTTCAAAGTTTCATTTCTATTCATTATGTATGAATAAAGTATATTGCAGTTTATTTACATTGTCTCACTTTCATATTTAATTACAAAGTAATAACCGGTGATGTGGGATAGCTTCTGCGTAAAACTGCCGATCAACAAAATGTTTACATTTTGTGGACGAGAATTTTTCAAATTTATAAAAACTTGTCCACAAAAAAGCTGATTTATGTATCAAAATGTTAACACTAGAACTTCGAAGCATTTAATACGATATATATGTAATCCCTATAAAAATTGTTACAATAGATTATTTTTGATTTCTTCAAACATTCATTATAGTGTTCAAGTGAAACTATTTATTTTCAAAATCATTCCATATATTCAATACTTTTAAGGTATCAATAATTACGAAAGAAGAAACTGAAAGCAGTCATTGTGACTGTACGGTAGCTCTAGTATTAAACACTAATAAAAGAGAAAACCACATATCAATCTCTCATTATTTGAAGAATTAAATTATTCATTTGCAACTGTCGAATTTAGATATAAAAACTTGAAGTCGTCATTATGGTGGCATTCGACCGCAAACGGTTAATTAATTTTAATCCTAAGGCTACAGAATAGGATCTGAATTATCATACCTTTAATCTTAATATTGTTTTAGTTTCCACGTTTATACACTTAAATCTAAATTACCCTGGTTTCTCTTAATAAGTTCACTATCACAAGAATCTTAAGCGCTTTATTTGTCACTTATTTTTTCGTGACGACAATGAATAGAAACAATTATTGATTATTTGGTATCACAATTCTTACGGTACACTATTATCTAATTAAATATTAGATACCGGAAAAGTTCGTGCGATTGTCTTATTATCAATGAATTGAGATTCGATTTAAATCTGTATTTCACTAATTAAATGCATGAAATTGATATTATCAGAAAGTCCTGTTTATACTGTTGGTATAAAATAAAATAAAATTATTTTGCACAAACATTCTCTGTGTTTAAGTTTTGATTTAAGAACCTGCATGAACTTTTTTGGTACCTAATACTTATAGTATTGAACTTTTGTATTCAACATCGACTATCTTATATATTGTAATTCTCTTAAAATACTTCAAAAGCACTGGTCATTGCTACCCACCACGGCAGTCAACGTGTTAACATATAATGAAAATATAAAATATAACAAAACAGAATTAAAAATACAACAAAATGATGTATCCTTTCATATTATAATCCTATCTTATTAATATAATCTCATATATACATACATACACGCATGAACAGTTTATTTAACCTCTTAACTGTGGAATTTATTTTCAAATATCTTTCGTTTTGCACGTGATAAAATCAAGAAATGAAGTGTGTACTCGTCAAACGCAGGACGAATGCAGCTGGAGTATATTGTAATGAAAAACCAAAGCGAAGAAAAAAAGAATTACGTGTTTATCTCAAACTATAAATAGTTCATTATTGAAAGAATTAGTACCATTCCAAGCTTTAAGATGACGCGTATAGTCGCCAAACGCAATTAACTGCTTAATGAGAACAGTAACAACTTTAACGAGATGTATATAAAAATTCTAGAAATGTCAGGTAGCTTGACCTTTCCTACACAATGCATTATAGATAACTTCTTAATATCACGATCTTTGCGAGGAAACTGTATTTTTAACACTTGGACAGTCGTATGTTTAATTCTAAAATTTATCGCCTCTCGTAAAATACAATATTTATTTAGAAATATTGTTAAAAAGAGTTAAAGAAATTTATTTTAGTTAAATATGATAAACTCCAACTGATAACATTGACTAACAGAAGTTGCGCCTATGTGATACTAGCTGTCAAAGTCTTACGTATGAGTGCAGCGTATGCGACACGTTTCGAAGCAATCTTCTTACGTACATAGCCGAAGGGATAAAAATATCGATCTGTACTGCTACAAAGTATAGAAGAAAGTCTATAATAAGACTGAAAAATCTAAAAATCTTCTAAGATATGGTGTAATATGGAAAACATCATATTAGGAGGATACATAAATTATAAATATGATTTCGTTGTATTAAGCAGAATCGAAATAGATATCTGTAGCAATTAATAAACATGTCACATGAGTGCATTCGTATTTATTTGTGCTGTCGCAGTATTAGATTTTGAAGCTATGGAAACACTTATTCAGTAACAAATACATTAGATAAAGAATCTTGTAAGAAATTCTATTTACAAGGAAAGATATCGAACTCAGAAATTCAAAAAATTATGAAACTTTGTGTGTAAGTAAAATAAGTCAAGCCTAATGCATTACAATTTTTGTTCGTGTCGAATTTCATTTTAAAAGGGTGAAACCACCGCTTGAAAATAATGCAAATTTTTATTTCCCGGAGATTATTTTGAAAACGATAGGAGATAACGAAAAACACGTTTAAATAGAAAATACATTGTTCTTTACGTCTATAAAATTGCAAAACAAAATTTCCAAAATTTGGAAAGAATTTATTTTGCAGTTTTATAGATGTAAAAGAACAATGTATTTTTTGTTGATACTTTTTTTCGCTATTTCTTATTGTCTTCAAGATAATCCACGGGAAAGACAAATTTTCATTTTTTCTAAGAGCTGGTTTCATCGCTTCAAAGTGAAATTCGACACGAACAAAAATTACAATGTATTAGGCTTGACTTACTCTACTTACACACAAAGTTTCATAATTTCTTGGATTCCCAGGTTCAATACCTTTCCTTATTAGAAGAATCTTCTGTAAGAAATGCAGAACCGAAATACAGAACCAAAAAATCGCAGTTCTAGAACCAACATCGGATACGGAAACCAGTATATCTAATAAGAGTTGTGACTTTATGTTTGTTCTCCATAACTGTTTCAGTCGGAACTTAAATGTAAAAGTTTCAAATAGTTATTTTAGGAACCTTTCAAATCCCTCTTTTCAACGGACCGTAAAACATCCTGCAAAAATGTCGTCCGGTAATACTTTTTTAATTAAAACTTTATAAATAAATAATTCACCGTTATTTACGTGTGGTTTGAACATAACTAAAACAATAAAAATGTGAGAAATAGATTTACTGAGATCACAATTTAGAGATTATTTCAAAGGAGAAATGGAGATTGGACATTGCAAGAGAACAATAATCCAAAATGTCGAGGCTGTCTCTGCAGAGAATAGATAACAGTAAATGGACCGACGCGAATAAATACCACTGGGAATACATGGAACTATAGCTTCAACAAAATACAATATGGAGTTTGAAACAATTAATACACCAAATTCGATCAATATAGCGTCCTTCACTGAAAGATTATTTTATCAAATTAGTGAATATACGCCGAAAAGGTGTAAAACAATGATAAATAATTATGGAAGATAGATTATAAAAAATGTATCAGGCTACCTGACATTTAATAATTAAACTACGGATCTTTAAATTTAAATGTTTAAGAGCATAATTAGGAAAATAGAATTACGATAGAAAATAGTTCTTCCTAAGAAATATTATAGAAAATACTACATTTTGGCTATTTTATATATTTTCCGTATGAAGGCATAAAAATTCGCAGTCTAGTAATAATAATTTAGAGAAATTATCGAATGAAAACAATCCGAATGCGTAAATTAGATTAAACGAACCTTCACACCACAGATCGTCGGCCTCCTTCTGAACGTAAATAGGATCGCCGATTTCAAGATCGATCTCGTCGTGATGTCTTGGCATGAATTTGTGCAGTCCTCGATGCGTCGCTTCTAGCAACTCCAGTTGAGTAAATGGAACACCTCCGCTTCCTTTGAAAAGATTCACCAATTGTTATTTGACCAGTTTAATGAGAATTTAATATAAGACATGAAATGATATTTAATTTAGAATAATTAACTGTCATTCTTCTAATAACGTTGTATTTAACTCATAGAGTACAATAGGAACATTGTTCAAGAACGGGTTCCATTTTACTAACCATTCAGCAGAATTGCAGTATTGATTAGTCAGCTTCATTGCTTTCTAAGAATATATTAATGTAAATTCTCTAATATTATATATATGCAATATACTTGATTATATATGAAAAACCGAGCTTTGCTATAGATCTGTTTACTGTATTTGAGCATTATTATATTATCCAAAATGAATATTTAATTAAATAGTTATTTAAATTATTAATTAGTTTAAATAATTATTGAGTCATTGATAATTATATTTTCAATAATCTGTTTATTGAAACGGAAAATAAGATTTAGACCCCTAATTACTACGATATACCTCGAATAGTAAAATCGCTTCTGCCGACTCATATTAGCTTGTATAATTAAGCAAAAGTGTATAAAATCTTTTTGCACGTCTTTGTTTGAGCAGAAAAATACAACAAATAAATACTTTCTATAAATAAGTAACACTTGTGAACAGAAAAGTAAGAAATTACTTATACAGTAGAACCTCGATTATTCGATTTAATTGAGTGACTAACCGTTCAGATAAATAAAAACTCAAAAATAAATTTTTCAAAGAATGTTTGCAAATTTAATCGTATATATTCTAAAGTATAATTGAAGGATCTAAATTATTGAGTTTGTAGGCAACGAAAACTCTAAACGGTCTATTAGATACCGGAAAATGTTCGCGCGGGTTCTTAAATCAAAATTTAGACACAGAAAGCGTTTGTAACCTTATTTTGTCTTATTTGATGCCAATGACATAAATATAATTTGCTGCTAGTACCAATTTTATTCATTAAACCAGTGAAATACTAATTGCAATTGGACCCCAATTCATTGCTAACAGGACAACCGTACGAACTTTTCCCGGTACCTAATGGTAACTCTTTTATACTTATTATTGTATTACAGTCATTGTATTACATACAATAGAGTATTTAACAATAAACACGTTTCATACATTTAAATTTACACAGACTACCATTCAAGATATAATATAAATATGTTTAACGTATTCGAAACATAGTAATACAAACGAAATGTTAAAAATCAGTTCGTGTAAATTGTTGAAATGAAAGGCTCGATATTTGATTCTTTTATCCTTATAACAATTAATTTATTAAATTTGAACTTTCACAATCTTTTAATTCATTAATGATTGTATAACACGTCAAAGCTAAAAAAAGTGCCATTTAATTTTGTAACTTACACATCATCGTTATGAGCGGTGTTATGTACGCCGCTAATGATAAATCGCGACAAATAGTGACTCGGTTAATCGAGTTCCCACAGTAACTAGCAAATATGAAAAATGATTGATGATATTTTAGAAAGTTAAAAACGTTACCTGGTGTACTGCTAGGCGAAGCGGAGTCTGTGTTCTGCAAGGTGCTGCAGGGAATAGGGGATACACTTTTCGGCCCATTTTCCGGCGAATGCGCAGTGGAATGACCACTGTCAGTCGCCATTCGCTCACTATCGGGCGAACTGTCTTCATGACGGATCCTCGAGTGACATTTTCGTAACACTAAATGCGGCCTGCTAGAAGCCGAGCCATTGGCTGCGCTTAATTCGTCTGCCAGCGAGGACGAGGACTGCATGGTCGTCTGACCGATAGGCAGACCTGAAAATGGAAACCATTGGTCAAATGAACGATCACGTGCAATAAACATTCCCAAATTTCCACACGAAAACTGACTGAACATTATCAACCATTTATTCTTCTTATAGCTTCAAAAAGGAGAAGACTCGCGAACTTCGCGTGCTAAGAGTTTTAATTTCAGTACACCGTCGAATAGTCAATCAACGATTGATAGGCATCAATTCGATGAGAAATGATCGTAACCATCGTAACAACCACCGAGGGAATACGTCTTGGTCAGATGTAAGAGCCACGAGCAAGTGCCGTGACGTAAGTAGAAGTCATTATGGATTTTCTTTCGTTGCGGTCGCAGATTCTGCGGTTGTATTCGTGATATCTTTGGATCTATGGATTGAAACAGGTGATGAGAAATACGCAGGATATGGTCAATTCGTAATATAGACCGCCTCCCTGCTTAAGGTCATGTGATTCTCAAATGATACTTTGATGTTGAAGTAATTGGATCGGTGTCAGATTGAATGCTTGAATACTGAAGGTATAAACATACGATTTTTTAACTTAAGAATATTTGCTTAAATGGCAAAATATCGAAATGAAATGTTACGGGCAAGAATTGATTAATTATAATTAATTATTTACAAAAGGGGCTATCACGTCGATTTCAATGAACTTGAAATATGTTATCGGAGCCATCATTTCGATCACTATATTTTGTAATCTGCATTTGGATTAATCGTTACTAATAAATTTCATAAACATAAATTGTATTTATTATCTTATTTATTATCAAATCTAAATACAAGTCAAACCAGCCCTAATGTGACTTAAATTGTATCTATTACTTTATCATTTTGAACTGAGTTAGAATTTGGAAATGTTTCTGCCATCGTGTCAAAAAAGTTGGCATGGCCAATGACTGCAGTTGAAATACATAATTCGTTTATTAAAATTTCTTACCGCGAAGGTCGCAGCATCATATGATAAAACAGCATATAGTTTGCAATAGTAAATGTACATATTCAAACCATGTGTTATAAAATACACTAATATCAAAGTCAAGCTTCTTAACACTCTGCACTCCATTTTAACACCCTTCCTGTTTCCATTGTGTACGTAATACGTATCACAATTAACTTTTCATTATTAAATATGACTGCTTTATTACATTTTATGCAATTCATCGTAGCGTGAATAACGTTACATTCTATTAATAACTGAACAGTTTATTATAATTATCGCATATACCTAAAATTCATGTAACTTCATTATGAATAGATTTGTGTATACTTTAATGGCCTTAACACTGTCACTGTACCTACATACTTTTATCAACAACTCACTCATGGATGACTGGTAAGACATCATTCTGAAGGAACACGTATCTAATACTCAAACACAAATAATAACATGTTTGTTGTAAGAAGCGCAGTACGGTACACACTACCAACCATAAATCTAAATTCATCAAAAGCTTTGTGCAAATATCTTAGAAACTAAGTCTACGTAACGTGTATAGGGTATAATTGTTCAAAATGATGACTCTGATAAGATATTTAAAGATCATAGAAATTGGTGGGGAGGCACCTTTTCTAAATAATCACTAACGATTGTCATAAATCTCGAGTGAAGGTATTGTTATATTTATATGTATTTGTATTTCATTTTGAATGCTGCATTTATCTAAAATTATTAAAAATCATATTGATTAATGGAATTCCAGATTTATAATTTTATAACGAATTGACCATGTTTTCTATTATACACAACCAATATTTTAAGAAAATTTATAGTAAAAAGATTATAGCTTCAACTTTGTTTTCAAATTATTGATCATTAAAATTTATCAATGTAGCATGTAATTTATTTTTCTGTTTCTACCTTTTAAAATATACATCAGAGTCTACGTTTATTTACATGTACCAGTATTAGTGAATTAACATGCTTCAGAAAAATGTTTAATCAATTAATATCTAAAAATTAACCAGCATTTTTATCTTTAATTTTAGTTTAGCTTGTGGAATCACCCCTTAAAATAATTAAATGTTGAATGTTCTACATATGTACCAGAATTGATAGAACTGTCTTACACGTAATTAATTGTCTATAAGTTTTTTGTAAATCTAATATCATATCATAGGACATAACCAATGATTAAAAGAATATTAAATGAAAATATAACAAAAGGTGTTTCAATATTTTATATTTAGCACTCTTTTATTTTTAATTCTTGGGGATTTCCAGTAGTTTCCGACGTCTTCATATACAGAAAATAATATACTATAGAAAATAACCAATAATTGAAAAATATTAAATGAATACGTAACCAAAAATCCGTCAGTATTTTATATTCAGCTGTCTTACATTTTTTATTCTTGGGGATTTCCGGTAGTCTTCGACGTCTACGATCGGTCCCGCCGCTTCCAGGTCGATTTGACGGCACGTGTTCCGGCGTCGGCCAAGAGCTCAAACTCGAACAAGAGTCACCAACGTCGCTGACTACGCTGTCCCTACCGCCGCTACCGGATACGGAAGTGGTACCTCCTCCGGGACCTGGTCCACCGACGCCTGCCGATCGACCCCTGCTGCTCAGTCCACCGAACAAGCTAATGTCACCCAAGGGTAGTCGTGTAGTGAGCTAAGCTACCTTTCACCATGCCGTTCGAGGTGTATTTTTATTAGGATTTCAGGATGTGAATTGGTTAACGTATTGAGAACAAGCCATAACATTTGTTCAATTGATACACATTATACGCTCATCCCGTAATTTATCCGAAACAGCTTTTCTTACACGACCGATAATCATGTAAATAGTCTGCCAATATCAAAAAGTACATAGAGAGATGTCTAAATATATATTTCATATATTTGTATAGAAATAGTGTTAATAAAATGACAGAAGAACTTCTTTCAATTTTATGTATATTTGTAGTGCTTATTTGTATTTCTTTCAATTTTATATAGAATTTTGTATTCTAAAATTATTTTTTGACTGTGAATAAAAAATATTTTATTTCCCATTAATCAAGAGATGAGTGTATTTAATGTTGCAGGTCGAATTGCAAGTGTAATACAATAAATTGAATGCATACTTTTGTAGAATTCATACAGTTATTTTAGAATGTTATATACTGTGTCACATAATAGAGTTTGAGAGTCAGTATTTTAGGAATAGATCTGGATTAGGAACCTATTAACCCTTTGCACTGCAATATTAAGATCTCGTTGGAGTCTTTTGTGTTTGTTGAATTGAATTTTAAATTAAATTTCATAATTACTTCATCCATAATCGACAGTATTAAATACTTATAATAGCTTGTACATTAAATTCACTTGTGCAATGAATATATAATTTCTTTTTCTCTTGAGAAATAATTAAGGATAAAATAATTAATCGGGAGAAAATGATGGAGCAAAGAATTGAACTAAAAAATAATTTGTGTCTATAAATTATTAGTAAGCCTGACTTTAACTTTTCAATCATGTTTCCCGCCCACTTAACCCCACTCTCTGTTAATTTGACGAAAAGTTGAGCCCGAGTTTACCAATTATTTATAGATACAAATTATTTTTCACTTATGAAAAACATAAACAACAGCTTGTATATAATTATCGATTGACAGGCTGTATACTAGCTTTGCGTGCCTCGTATACATACTTTGTCTTTATCTTTGTCTTCCCTTGAATTGGAGGAAGAACGTAAAGTAATAACGAAGAGGCAGATTATTTATTATTTAACCTTTAGCGACATGGTATAAACCACTTAAATAAGTCACCAAAAATTCATAATGTTTGTACCATAATGAATAAAAACTTTTGTTCTGGATAATAATTTTAATATTTAATAAGTTCCATATACTTAGCAAAATATTCATATCATTCTCCAAACGAACCAAGCACAAATGGATTATTATTTATGAAAAGGTTTCAATTGGTATACCTCCATAATCTTTTCGATTAAGTACGTCCAAATATTTACATCCTTTTACCAGTCCTCTTTTACCAAAATTAAGTTTTACCTGTATACGATTTTATATTTGTTATCAAAAATATAATTTGAAGTTTCTAGCTTATTTTTACATATCTAAAATTACAGTACTATAATTCATTTTTAAAAAATGTATCAGACCGTTTAGAAATTACACTAAATATTGATCATCTGAATAAATTATGTTTATTATCAATCTATGAACAAAAAGTCAATGCTAAGTGAAAAAATGTATGTGTATTAATTACAAATATTACTGTAACAACGAATTGCTATTTATATTTAAACAAATGACACTATAAGTAGGAATATCCTACATCAATTGAAACATTATTATAGATAACGTCAAAATTAACAGGATTTTATGAAAAAGAGTTCAAATGCAATATTATTATCCACATGAACAGGCTCAGATAAGAAATAACAATTGTTCACTTTCTGTCGAATAGGAAATAATAAAATAAAAATTCTAATTGCAAAATAATTTAATGGAACGAATGCATAACCTACAAATAATTATTTAATACTAGAAATATTTGAATAATCTAAATAATTCGTCAGTTTCTATTCAATAAAATTATATTCATTTTTGTTAACATGTTCATAATTAGCGAATTAATTGTAAATGCTACTTAAATCGATACACACGGTTCTATCTCATAACATTAACATTCGGATGTTATGTAAGCTAGTCCCAATACATTTACGAAAGGATATTCCTTTTCTCTAGGGATGTAGGATGTTATGACACCAAAACTCTCTTTATGGGTTACGTTCTCAACAAACTCAGATGCAAACTTGCTTTTATCATGATGCATTTCTAAAATTGAAAAAGTGTTAACATCTTTTCTTCGGGAAATGAAAATGGAAAGGATATAAATGTAAATATGACTCTAGAAAGCTGTAGGAAAAGGTATTATACAGGAAACTCGAATTAAACGACCTAAAATTCATTCCTTCTTGCATGCAAAGGTTATAAGAGGATGTATCCAAATACACACAAAGAATTCACAGTACAAACAGATCATTTTTGTTCAAGTAAAAACTGAATATTATGCAGAATGTTCCCAACTATACCAATACATTCAATATGTGAAAAGGAAAACAAGATGCTATAAAAATAGAGATACATCAAGAGGATTTGAAAGTGTTAATAACAGAATTCTACTCTACATAAACTACAGAAATTTATAGAAACTTTCAGTTTATGGAAATACTGGTTATAAAGATTGCAATGATAAATTTTATTTGTTATTTATAATTATCACCCTACTATATGAATATGTAAAATATAAAGCAAATGGTCCATTCTGTATATTTTATCAATTGATTCCACTGTGTTAAATCAGATATCTATTTCTCCTCTATTACGATAAATATTTAATGAGTGCTTTAACCCCTTGAGTTCTATTTCAATTTCCTCGAACACGACGAAATTCAGCAGAATAGAAATATATTATAACTAATCAAAAATCTTAGATTATTATATTATAAGAAAAGTGAACTATACCAAAAACTTCATTTATTAAAAGCTGCTTATTTGTAGATTATTCTCTGACTGACATTCAAAATATTTATTAACATTAAACCTACCAAATAATTGGTTACAAAATAAAAGTAAACAAGTTAGACAGTAAATATTTTTTAGTGGAAACCGAAACAAAAAGAAAGACAAAAATTGAAAAACTAATTCGTCTGATAATACAGGAATTGGTATAAAGTTAAATGAGCGAAAGAAAATGCAGAATTTTAAGTCATATTTTGAAACCGGTCATTTAATTACGATACGTTTAGTGTTAATCTTTTCTGATATAAGACAAAATTGCATCCACATTTTACTACGTTATAGAACGTAAGGGGTTAAAAACATGAGTCGGGTAAACCACCCGTTACATTTCATCAATTACTTCCATTGTCCTTGTTCGAACATCTAACTCTAACGCGTTCAAATGAAAATTCACAAGCAAGAAGAAGAAAAATGGTGGCACACTTACGATGTTACCAACCTAAAGTCGCTGTCAGCGACGATGGAGCAATTGTGATCGAGATCCTCGCTGTCGTCCCCGGAAGTGTGACCGCTCTGAGTGTCGTGGCGATGTATCACCACCACGTCGTCATCCTCGGAATCGGCGGCAACCCCGTCGCATGCTCTGCCGACCTCTGTGTCGCTGTATTGCGACGAGGTCGGCGAGTCGTCTATCATGACATCGTGAACGAGCCTATCCTCAACAACAATTCACGATCATTAATCCGGGGAGCACGAACGCCTTGAACAGGATCGTTAGAATTACCTTAAAACGTCTTTATCGTGAAACGAATATCTTACTATGTTCATTCGAGTCGTTGACTAGCGAAATCTGGCAGTTTCAGAAGGGACAGACATCGAATCCATCGAACACGAATGATACTGTAAAGCATGATTCTCTTTTCTCTTACTTCATTTACTTTCTTTGGAAGTTTGATTTTCTTTTATTTCATTTAGTTTTCTTTTATTTACTTGTTTGAGAAATATGATGTCTGTTTATTTTAGTTCACTCATTTCTTTAGAAGTTTTTTCTTTTATTTTACTTTATTTGAACTTGACGCAAATATCACAAATGATCCCTCTCTTTCGCTTGTAATTGCGAAAGACTGAGGGAAAACGGTAAGAAATACGCCCTTGATTACTATTTTTTCCAGTACTGTATCTTGACACGCATTTACAGGAAATGTCGAAGAGGACTGTAGATATGGAAAAAGTTGATTTGTTGTAACTGCTGATTCAATCAGAAGGGATGTTATTCTATAGAAAAAAAATATCGAATGTCTCCCATTTTTGTTAAATCAAACGTGAATGCGCACGTGCACTTGATTCACCCCTGACTAAATACATATGATACAATATACAAAGGGTTATTCTTCGTGTGAAAATGAATAGGAAATATATATAGAATAAACGTCGTTTATTTGAGACATTGTCTTTAGAAAATACTGAGCTTCAACATTCTACTAATAAATAACTAAATGCAAGTTGTTAAAAAAATAATTATATTAGTTTTTTTCTACATGTTCGATTTATTTCATCGTGCAGGATAAATTCATATTAATTATATCACCGTAATCATTCTAACCTGCCAAATCTACATATTTTCCAAAAACTTCAAATAAATTTTGTCCCACATTTTTATTTAATGTTTACTGTTTTTTATAAAATTATGTTTTTTCCATTTCGACCATCAGCTACAAAATACCCTATAGATCACTGTAAAGTATTAAATTTTTCATTTATGAATGTTTTTTCATGCAAACCTTTTATTTTTATAATTATACGAATCATCTTCCGGACAAGCATAACCGAAGGCATGAAGAAATAGGTTTTGTAATTAAATAGTTTATTCCGTAAATTGAAGTCGTGAATTCCAAAACATCACAAGTCCACTTTTTAACGTTGTCCATATGAGTTATTGATGTAGGTCTGAGCTTACTCAGACGTATTTAACACGCTGAATGCCATGGGGGTCACCAGTGACTCACGACCAAATCAAATTACTATAATTCAATCTATTCAACGATGATTATTTACAAACATTTTTATATTATAAGTAATGCTGCCCAATGTGGTGACATTCGGCAAGATAAACGTGCAATAAAAGTAAAACGATTCAATGGGATAATTTCATATATTTTTTTCATTTTGTATAGTTTATTACGTGAAATCGTGTGGCATTCCACGTGTTAATAATATTAAAAATGTACATATAATGAAGATGTATATGTAGTCAATGGTTGCAACAAGAATCAACAAAAAAGTAATGAATAAATTAATGAACAAAAAGAAATATTGTCTAAGAATGTTGATTGGTTGCTTTGTGCTGCTTTGGAATTCGCGGTTTCAATTGTTACTTTTTAATAATTGAAATTAAATTTTTGTCGTATTACGGATAATTGAAATTTGTTTGAAACAGTCTTAGATAACATGTGTGCAGATCGTTTTATTCAAAATTTTGAAGAAGTTTCTATACATAGTACTCCAGTATACAATCTGTTAAAGTATTATCCATTTAGACGGCAAGTGGATCAAAGCTCAGCAAGCTGACACGTTTAGAACTCTCAAGAAACACTTCGTCACAGCTAAGAAACTCTCAAATACTGTCGACCAACAGGTAAACAGATGTGTCGTCTTAATCATTCTGTGATCGAGATCAAATAAAATTAAAGATAAACGAAAACAATTATCATGAATTATTCTACTTTACTATTCTGATGTACACGACAATATAATTTGATTAATATTGTTAATATTGTTCTATTACTGAAATATTAAAAAACTCTTCAAGTAAAGAAATAAAAATGAAAAGTCATACGAAGATAGATTTAAGTGTGAGTGACAAACTAAGTCGCTTTTATCGCTCGGAGGTTATATAGATTCAAAAAGTTCAAGAAGTTTGTGACAATAGAGTCTTGATATTTTTCGGATACTTCATTAAAGATAACTCTACGGCGTTGACGAAATGAGGACGTCCGATTAGATAATTAACGATAAAAATGGAGCGCGGACGCGGGCCATTAATAGCGCGAACTGGATTCGTCTAGGAGATAAATAATCAAGTGTGACGTACAGGACGGATATAATTTCATTAATTTAGTAGACTCGTATCGATTTTAATTCTTTCTACTGACGAATTGAGAGTATCCGTATTAAATAAATAAAATCTACATGATATTACTGTATCTTAAAATACAGCTAATGTTAGTGGTATTAGACTTAATCTTTATGTTTTGAATAGTACAGCTATAGCATATACAATTGCACGAAAACAATTAGAGGATGTCTTTTAATTACGCTGTTTAAATAAGCAGTGCAATAAGCTTAAATGTAATGCTTGATTTAATCGCTCTCGAGTTCTTAATCAGGCTTTTCCCTGTTTAAAAATTCAAGGTATGAAAATTTACCAAATATTTTGTCATTTAAAAGTGCACTTTTTTCATTTACTTTTGCAGTTACTTTCAATATACTTGGTTTTTCACCTTTAAATGTATGTTACGTATCCCGTTTATCAGCTGTGACTGAAAAAATTCTACTTACATTATAACGATTATCATAGAAAGATTTCACAATCTGTTCCCATGTGAACTGAATGTCTACGTAAGTTTTTCAAATTTCTTTAATAAAATTTAATCACTTTACAAATCGCGGTTGTTAAATTAAATTACAAAATAAAATCGATCAATGTTAATAAAATTAATTCGATAAACGCTAAAAATTATTGCACACAACTATCAAAATATGAAAGTTTTAGACAATGAATATTATCGACGTAAATTTAAAACAAATAACTAATAGGATTCATGATAATAAACGCTATTTAAATCAAAATTAGTGGACGATATTTACATAAATACTACCATATTGTAGTTCAGTTCATAGGCTTACCGCGTAAAATGATTTTATTTTTCAAGTATAAAGTAACTTTTATACCTTTAAGGTCGGATGAATAATTATGAACGGTACTGTACTTCGATCCAGTTCAAAAACAACTACAACAGCTCCTTTTAAAGTGAAATAAATCATCAAATAAAACCTTTCTTTGGAACAATATTTTTTAATTTTTAGTAAATTAGTGAATAAAAATATTGTGTAAAAATTGCATTTGTAATATGTATTATATATTATACTGAGAGTGATTTCATATGAAGATTTTTATGGATCTTTCCAAAATAGGTTCAGATCTCCACAAATAAATTATTGGAAGCGTTCGAGTGATATTTCAATCATCCCCCGGGTAAAAATATTTTACGCAGACTACATCTTGCTGCACTAAATTTCTTTCGCGCACGAAAAACAGCATCGACCGCGCCTCCGTAGTGTATCATCTCGATGCACCCATGGCTAACCCCCCTAATCTCCTCCCAAAAGTGAAATACACACCGAGCGAAAACGATGCAACGTACTAAATGCAGACTGCAGTGCGGTTGGTGCACTTCGAATCTGTCGATACCCAAGAAAAGGCACTTCAAACTTCCAAAAATAATATTTCACATTGCGACATATGCACCTAGGCAAGAATAAATGAATAAAATAGTGCATAATACTGTAGGCGAGCCACTTGAAGTATTTACATCCGTCAGGTTAAAAGAATCTTCTCCCCTGCTCCCACTAATAATACATATTTACCACAATTTTTCGCGTCAATACATATTATTATACACGTTCGTATCCGTTAAATCCCATCAATAAATCAATCTTCCTTAAATCATTCAGTTTCCTGCATCCCACGAGCAAACTCCAAAGGGCACAATCATCGAACAGCTTATCCGCAACCCTGTCACAATTTTCTCAATCCAACCCCCGGATATTCTGCGCCTACAGCATTCACAGCAGTGTGTCGCAATAACACAAGATTGACACAACCTTCATCTCAAATGTAGCATGATCAAACCACGAACCTCCCTTTCATCAATCAAACGAAATTCCACAAGTCGAAGCTAATTTCATTTCTCCTCCGCATCTTTTGATACAATCCAGACTCGTCATTGTGCAAATTCCTACAAAATACGTATGAGGAGTCTGTCTCGCAGAGAAGTATCCAATGAAACCAGCGAATCGCGGAACGGCAAGAAACATCTGCAGTTCCATGATCGCTGAACGGGATCCCAGCAGAATCGTGTCTCGCGGACGATGATATTGAATTTCCCGTGACATTACGCTTCATCCCCGAACGTCGAAACGCGACGAAACGGTCGCTCGGAACGTCCATGGGAAATCTAATTGCCAGTCGGTGAAGGAAACCGTGGTTCTACTCACGTGTAATGGGACAGAGTCGTATTGAAGTATTGAGGCAGCTTCTCGAAAAATTGTCGGAACTCCTCGAACTCGGTGTCCGCCATTCTCCAGCCGGGATCGGGAACGAGGGCCGCGGGGTCGAACGGTCGGTCCTGAAGGCGGCCGTGACGGCCTCGGGGAGAGCTGCTCGTCGACCCCCCGGAACCAACGGGTAAAAGATGTGGCTGATAGTGAGGCTCGGGGACTTCGTCGCGTGACCACCGTCGCTTCGACGCCGCACACGACGCCCTATTGATTCCTGCGTGATAGGCGCCGCGCACACCCCCGTCGGACGCTCGGCGAACTTTCGCCGCCAGGAAATCGAACGGAGAGACAAGCCGGCCAAACCGAGGCCGAAGCCCGAACGAGGCACGTTCGCTACTGCAGTTTCTTTTCCCGACTTGAATATTTCAATCGCGACCTGGCTGGCCTGCGTTTGCTACAGCGGGCCAAACAGCAAATCCAGGGGGAGGAAATTTGAAATGTCGTTGTTTCCCCTCGTTCTCAGTTTGCTCATGCTTTTAACCCCTTTTCCTTGGGCTTCTCCGTAATTAGACGATGCCGGAATTATAATCGCACTTCAATGACTCGGACACCTTTGTAACTTGTACATTTTCTTGCTTCTCTGTTGTTTCGCTATAAAAAAACTGTATAACTGAAAATTTGGAAACTTTAATGACTACAACTCTGCCATTTTATAACTCTATAACTCTATGACTCTATGACTCTATGACTCTATGACTCTATGACTCTATGACTCTATGACTCTAAGAGTCTAACACTCTGACACTCCATAACTTTATAACTCTATAACTCTATAACTCTATAACTCTATAACTCTATAACTCTATAACTCTATAACTCCGTAACTCTGTAACTCTATAACTCTATAATTTTATAGGTAACTAATTATTTGCCTCACATTTAATGTGTATTTTACCTCTACAACTTGAATTCAGCCGAAGGTCAACTCTACAAGTCGAAATTCTCATTTACACATAAGACCAAAACTTTAAGAAATCCATAGAAATAAAATTTTCTTTTCTTAAACCTCTTTTACTCGAAAACTCGATAAGACGAAACCTCTATAACTTGAAGATCTTATGTCCCTCTTGCGACTGTATTTTGTTATTAACTTAATACAAACAAAGAAGAATTGTATGTTCGTCCATACTCTCATTTACTTTCAACTATTGGAACTGATAATAAGAAAATCAGATTTAGTTTAAACTAACATGAGTTATGACATTTATTATTGGTAACTTTCCTTTGATATCTTTCAAAATCTTACAGATTTTTAAATGAAATATCGGTTAACTATAAATATTTTTTTCGTATATTTTGCATATAGAAGTTTATAATCATGATTGCTTTTCAAGACACCATTTAATAGTGAATGTCTAAATAAAGACTATTTATTTGTAGTGAATGTCTAAATAAAGACTATTTATTTGTAGTGAATGTCTAAATAGAGACTATTTATTTATAGTGAATGTCTAAATAGAGACTATTTATTTGTAGTGAATGTCTAAATAGAGACTATTTACTTGTGGTAAACGATGGTAATAATTGCAAATTATTTTGATTCTCATGAATTTTGTTTGAACCGCTGTGCGACACACCGTGTAAACAAAAATATAAGCTTCCAAGGACTTACCGGCAATAGATCTTCAATGGAAAGATAATTAAAACGATCGTTGGAGGAAAATCAGAACTCAAGCAGGTAGAAAACCAGAGATATTTTTGGAAAGAATAGAAGCAGTTTTCTGTTTCTAAGCTACTTATGCTTACAGAAATTTTTGTTGTCAGAGTTATGTGTAGTTTATTAAATATTTATTTGAAATCATCATGACTCGGATTTTGAGACTGTGAACGTGTTGATGCTACTTAGTCTTTATGTATATTTATAATATATATTTTATATTTAATATTATAATATAAATATATATTATAATTTATTAATGCGCGATAAATGCAGTGGTCATTTCAGATTTTTGCTACAATTTCTGAAATGCAAGAAAGATAAAAACCACTATGATACATTTTCCATTTTCTATTTTAGTTTCATTAAATCAGTTGTTTTGATTTCGTGAGATTTTATATATTATAATAATTATTATATTATATTATTATAAGAATGAAAAATATATCATAATATTAAATATTATATTATAAGATATCATATATTCTATGAGAAATAATGTTATTTAAGTAGTACAAATTTATAAAACTTCAGTATATAAACCAGGAATTATAAGATTCGCTGCTTGAACTAAACAATTTTGTTCTGAATAACAAAATTCTACTTATGAAAGTGTGTACATATGTACGTGCATACCCTATGTCGCCACATTAGCGAGTGTACTAATGCATTTCACTAAAGAGTTTGCACATGTGAACATTAGGTTGTCTCATATCGTGTAATATTTACGCCCGCTATTGTTCTGTATTTTTGCTTGGAAACTAGTTACAAGCTAAGTCGCACTCAAAATTTATCTTGTTCCTTAGAATGAAACACTGGCTCAAACATTATTTTCATGTCAGTTAATATTTAATCAGTTAATGAAATATTAATATTTAAAAAAGAACTTGGGACATTTATTTTTAATGTAGGAATTGATCAGGGAAACGAATATACGATTCGACTCTCCCAAAGGAGTACCTGCACTACTTTGAATGATACAGAATGTATTCCACTGCTATGCAATACCTCAGAGCTGTAAACATAAGTCTTGAAAACCTCGTACATTAGAAGAAACAGATATGTAGGAGACTAAATTCTAATTAGATATATCATCATATCATAAAATTCTTAACCAATCCAATTTATAATTTTCTTTTCCCTTTTTCGTTTTAGTGTATTAATTATTGAACCAGCATCCATAAAAATCTCATAAAGTCGAAACAATTTATTAAATGAAAGAAAAATAGAAAATGGAAAACGTTTCATAGTGTTTTTTAACTTTCTTGCATTTCAGAAATTGTAGAAAAATCTAAAGTGTCAACTGCATTTATCGTGCATCGGTAAAAATATGTTGTACAGTGCAAAGTGAGATGTAGTTAACGAAAATAAAGTGTCGAAGCAGAGACAGTAGATATAGACAACCGAGAGAGAATAATTAATGTCGGTTAATCGAGTTACAGAAGTTGACAGCGTCAAAAGTTTCGAGCGATACTGTGCGAAACGCAGTTCACTAAGCAACCCTACGATTCTTCTGCCTGATTTCCAAATTAGGTCAGTAAACCTAACTGTAATTAGTAAAACTTTATAAATAGAATCTATACCTACCTATAACAATCACGAAATTTTCTTTCGCGATTTTTAAATAGATCAATAAACTTATTTAATGTTTGTAATATTTTGTAACTAATTTCTTCATTCTTTACGTCGAATTTATTATTTTTTGCACTCTTGTCATTGTTTAATATATTTCCAAATTGTTTAAAAATTATGTATTAA